ATCCATGTGAACATTTCAATTTATGATGTGGTTCCCCCAATAAGAAAGAACGGATATTTTTAAGTCTTCATCCACTCCAATCAATCATGCTAAATGTATGGTGGTTGTTGCTTTTCTTCTCTATTTGTAACTTGTATCTCACATGCCCTAGGCCAGAGATGATCTTCTGTGTAGAAATCTTTACAAAGCCATCAGTGCAGGCTTCCAGCCCTTAATTTGCTAAACTTTGCCTTGGGACCTGAATGTATTTTCTAATGCAGTCTGCAAATGAGAGAATCTGTGTGTTGTCTTACATACAAGCTGGTGTTGAAGAACAGAGCCCACTTTTTACAGTTCTAAATGCTTCCTCTCACATGGAGCATTCTATTCAGTGGGTTTTCCTTGCGCTTCAAGGCTATCATATCTATGTAGTTTCCTCTTATTTTTGGCTCTACCTCCAACCTTAGCCATTGTAATGAAATAGCATCTCAATACAAGCTCAGTCTAACAGAGTTTAACTTTTACTTATTCATTGGAATTTGTCACATTTTAGATAAAGATTGTTTTACTTAAATTCTTTCCAGTATTTTATTCCAAATCAATTTTACTTAAAAATTTTCTCTATAATATGTCCTTTTTTTTCCCCAGTAAAATAAGGCTTGAACCCATGGCCTCAGTACTTTGACTTGGCATTTTTGCGCAAGGCTGGCACTCTACCACTTGAGCCACAGCTCCACTTCTGGCTTTTTGCTGGTCATTGGAGATAAAAGTTTCAGGGAACTGTCTGCCCATACTGCTTTGAATCACTAAGCTTAGTTCTCAGTCTTCTGGGCAGCTAGGATTCTAGGTATATGCCACCAGCACTCTGCTTCTAGAATATATTCTGTAAAGAAACTTCTTATAATGGTGAACAGACTAGATGATCATTTTAGAAGTTTGGGTTGCCCAAAGTTCTATTTCCGGGGGGGAACAGAGGCCAGAGTGTCAGTTCATCTGTAGGTCTACCTGCCTCTGGCATTGGCTGGCACAGATCTGATCTTAACCTGAGAACGCACTTCCTTCTTTCCTTACTCTCTTAGTACTCGGTGTCCTTTCCCGTCCTTCCCCTTGAAGTTAAAGACCCTTCTTGTCTTCTTGATTGTGTTTGTCTTTTCACTTGGTGAGTTTTACGTTAGACCTGTTTGACATTGGTTTTCACTTGAGAATAAGTGAGTAGACATACGCATAGGCATTTCTCTTAGGCTTTTATTATAATAATCTTGCACTAAGCATTTAACCTCCCCATTGCTAGCATGAGGACACTGAGGACATGAGAGGTTTTACAGTGGATCTGGGCTCTGGCTTCCATGGTGGAATTGCCTAGGCCCACATTCAGAGATACTAACTCACTAGGAGTAGCATTGAGTCTTACATACTGACTTTTTAAGTTGCTTTTAATGTGATATTTGATGTAAGTTAAGTAGATCTGGAGGAAATAAATGACTGAGCTTGTCCAATTTCCACCCCACATGAGCTCATGATATTTTTTTCAAAGCCACTGTGTTGTGCAGCCTTTGAATTTGTGGGGTTACTGTCCAACTCAGAATCTCGTGCACCACAACTGTTACGAGCATGGCTGAGCTAGCGCCCTAGCTAAATTTGCATATTATAATCACTAATACAGTTTAGGTTCTTAACTTCCAAGGTAAGAATTAAATTTCTAAGCCTCATGCTTTCCCCAGAGGAGAAATTTCCACTCACTGGACAAAGTTTAGGTTATAGAAGTAATCATGCACTTTTTTTTTTTTTTTGGCCAGTCGTGGGGCCTGAACTCTGGTCCTGGGTACTTTCCCTCAGCTGTTCAGCTCAACAGTGGCGCCCTACCACTTGAGTCACAGCACCACTTCCGGCTTTATTTCTGCTTATGTGGTGCTGAGGAATCAAACCCAGGACCTCAGGCATGCAAGGCAAGCGCTCGACCACTGAGCCACCTTCCCAGCCCACATGATAATTTTTATACAAAGATTGCATTTCATATAATATGACAATGCAAGTTTCAGAGAAGTAGATTTTCTCTGCCTAATGGAATGATGTTTTCACAACAATTACATAGTTTCAAATTATCCTAGTTGATACACAATAAACAGTTCAAAGGACTTTTATTTTTTCCTCTATTTTTAATCTACTTCCCCCCTTTTCTGTGTACACACACACACGCACACACACACACACACACACACACACACACACACACACACACACTGAATCCCACTTCCCTTTGCTTTTCACGGGGTGAAATTTGATTTGAAATGTAGATGCTAACAATGAGACTGCTTTTAAATATTTTCTCAGTAGACTCAAGGAAAACTTTTGTTCTCTTGAATTTAGTAGGGGAGTCCTTAAAATTTAAAAACATACTAATAAACAAAACCAGAATAATTCTTCTGTAGGTAACTCCCTGATACCTTGACCCAGACAGAAATAAGCTGACAAATTTATTATGAGCCTACAGAATTTGTTTAAAATTTTCAGGTAATCTATAAAAATGAATAACTCTACTAGAAACCCAGTAGTAAGTCTACTCATGATTTCTCATTGTATGTGTATTTGAAATGTTTATTTTTAAAACTATAATTCAAGTATTTATGAACACTTCTTGGTTGCTTAACATTCATAAAGCACATGCCCTTTGTGCCTGGTATATTTTTAAGATGCACAGGGATTTAAAATGAAAAGGTGCAGGAAATTACAACTCTGACACTATTGTATTGTCCTGATAGACCTCACGGGTCTCCAATAAGGCCTCCATGCTTGAATTGTGTGCTGTTAAACCAAAGCTCATGGTTCATTTGACTTCCTGATAGCTTCATATTCAGAGAGAAAGTTGCCAATAAAAGCATATTGAAAATATTAAACATGCCATATTAGATAAGATTTCCCCTGGGGGGAAAAAAGCAAAGGAAAATAAAACCTCCAAAGAAAACATTGTTTATTGAAATGGTGTTAGGGCGCCTCCTGATGTCACATCTGTGTATTACACAGCTCATTCCACATTCTTTGACTTTTTTGGTAAATTTGGTTGCTTTCTCTTAGAGGTGTGGATTATTTCTAGATCTTACGTTTTAATGCATTTCTCTTCCAATGGATATACATTGATGGGTGGATTTTTTTCTTGATATAGTATAAAGAGGGTGTAATGCATTCTTTGAGTTTCTTCTGTTCTTTCTAATTTGTGAGACTTCCCTTTACTCTGTGAACTTTGTCTCTCCCTACCAGATAACTCTGTTCTTCCGTTGGCTTTATTTTCATAAACAATTGATCTCACTTCCTTTAGGCTTTGGTTTTTGTGGGCTTTAATGAGATCCCTTCTGTGTCATGCCTTTGGCTTTCTTTGCCTGTAACTTCCATGCATACATACTTTTCAACAGAGGACCAAGCCACAGTTTATACATAGACTCAATGGCTAATGGCTTGGCCCTCACAATCCTCAATCCCTAGTGCATCAGAAGGCAGATTTAGATATCCTAAGATTCATTTAGAAAGAAAACCAGAGGACAAATTGATATTAAAATAGTTAGACCAACACAGGGTATTTAATTTGATGTCCTGGATACCAGGCTTTTATTACAAGTAGTATATATTTGTAATCCATATGCATTGGAATTGTATAAATGGCCTCTAGGCAGTGTTTGTCAGAATAAATAAAAGTTGAAGCTCTTCAGCTTTGACATTGTTGAGATTATAGACAGAGGAAGTATGCAATCACAGTGCTTCTTCTATGTAGATTTATGATTTCTCACAATAGAATTCTTTTTTAAAAAATAAATTTTTTTATTGTGAGAATACTGTACAGAGGAGGGGTTACAGTTACATGAGCAAGGTAATGAGTACGTTTCTAATCAAGCATCACACTAGAATTCTTTATCCCAAACTTCCTGGATGAGTCCCTTAGCCTCTGAAAATTCATATGATGGAAAACTAGATATAGCATTTTACAGCTCTTAGGTCCCTGCTTTGACAGTCTAGGATAAAAAAATCTCTAGGAAGGAAAAAAAATACAAGTTGAAATCTATGCTGGGCTTTATAGGACAAAAACATGAATTAAAATCACTCTTCCACAGATAGCATTTGTGTTTACCTTCTTCATTAATCTGTAAAAGATACCTTCTCGCTGGGTACTGGTGGCTCTCGCCTGTAATCCTAGCTTCTCACGAGGCTGAGATCTGAGGATCACGCTCAAAGCCAGTCCGGCTTATCTCTTATCTCCAATAAGCCACTAGAAAACTGGGAGTGGTGCTGTGGCTCTAGTGGTAGAGCGCTGGCCTTGAGCTGCAGGGAAAGCACTTAGGCCCAGAGTTCAAGCCCCATGACTGACCAAAAAAAAAAAAAGGTATCTTCTAGATGTTAAAGGATTATTATTGGTTGAGAGTATTTTGTTTCAGTGCTGGGGGGGGTCATTCCTAAGGCCTCCTGCATACCAGTGCTTGCCTCCTGATCTGCACCCTAGCCTAACAGAGAACATGTTTTCTAAATTCCACCCAGAGGAAGCACCTTTTTTCATTACTACTCTCAGAGATGACATCGCAGGAGGCAGTATTATTCTACTCTATTCTGATATGTAATCTTGTGTTTTAGCACTCAGTGTTTAACTGAGGCTTATAAAAATGTTATGCCAACAAAAATCATTTACCTAAACATGTTAGTTACCTACTTAGCTTTGATTTTTATTATCTTTATATAATTATATGAAGGGGTTTTAGTTTACCATGTCAGGTTATGAGTGGTCTTCACAGTAACCCAGACATTTCCATGGATTTGTTCTACTGTCACCAAAAGACACGACTTCCTTATTCACACAATCTAAAGTAACTTATCATTTTCTCTAGAGTATTTGAATCAGGCTTGTCCTGTAAACTCAGAATTTCAGTGTTTTTGTGTGTGGTAAATAAATTGTTGTGGATGAATCAGGAAACTGTAAATTTGACTTGAACATAAGTAGCCCTCTGGACTAGCTCATAAAATCTTTCTACTTTCTGTTACAGTGTTTCTAAGGCCTCAGAGAAACTTGGAATCTGTAGACCCACAGTTTACAATTCGGAGGAAAATGGAGCAAATGAGAGAAGAGAAAGAGCTGGTGGAACAACTTCGTGAGGTATTCAGGAAATACTAGCAACCAAACAGTCCATCCCAAGACTGAAGCAGAATTTTATGTTTTTAAAAAGTCCTAGTTCCAACTCTAGCTAGGTCACTTTCTGACTCATTGGGACTGGGTAAGACACTCAGACTTTCAGTTCTTTGTGTACTGAAAACAGTTCTAATTCCCTTTTATGGGGTTTGTAAAGAGTATATGACAGTAGAGAAGTAGAGATGTTAAAAACATTTGAGCATTACTGTTTTTGTGTGTAGTGTACTGGGGCTTGAACTCAGAGCCTGGGTGCTGTCCTAAGCTTTTCTGCTCAAGGCTAACACTGTACCAATTGAGCTACAGGTTAACTTAAAACTTTTTGATGCTTAATTGCAGATATAAGTCTCATGAACTTTCCTACCTGGTCTGGCTTCAAACCACAATCCTCAGATCTCAGCTTTCTGAGTAGATAGGATTATGACAGACAAGGATGCACATTAGAAATTGCTTTGTGAAGCTGAGCACTGGTGGCTTACACCTGTAATCCTAGCTACTCAGGAGTCTGAGATCTAAAGATCATAGTTCAAAACCAGCCCAGGCAAGGAAATCCATGAGACTCTTATCTCCAGTTAACCACTGGAGAACTGGAAGTGTAGCAGTAGTCTTGAGCAAAAGAGCTCACAGACAATTCCTAGCCTCTGAGTTCAAGTTCCATGACTAATTAAAAAAGAAGGTTAAAAAAAAAAAAGAAAAAGAAATTGCTTCGTGAATTTTCATTCACCAAGAAGCACTGTGACTGGAGGTAGAAGATGACTCCAGAGCTTCGGAAAGGATCCAGATTCTCTATTTAACCTTCTCTTTCACTGAGTAATTATTGAGCACTGAGGCAGGATTGAAGGTGTTGGATATAGGAACACAAAGGCCCTGATGATAGGAAGCCTGTAGTCTATTGTAAATAAACAGGGAACAGATAACAGATGCAATTCCAGGTTGCAGGAGCAATGAGTACTAGGAATAAAATTTAAATTAAAGCTAGTCAACAGCTTTGTCAGTGTAGGTCATACTTCACATATGGTAAAACAGGTGAGCAAGAGTTCTGAGGCTGAAACTCATGGCCTGGTTACTGTCCTTGAGCTTTTTTGCTCAAGGCCACTGCTCTGCCATTTGACTCACAGCTCCATTCCAAGCATTTTGGTATTTAATTGAAGATAAGAGTCTGATGGACTTTCCTGCCTGGGCTGGCTTTGAACCACGATCCTCATATGTCAGCCTGTTGAGTAGTTAGGATTACAGGCATGAGCCATTAGTGCCCAGCTCTTAGCAGCATTTTTAATTGACTGTAGTTAACTGAACAATCACAAAGAAAAAGAACCTGAAAACGAGTAGAAGTTAAGATATTCCTCTCAAAAAGTGATGTGTATCTTATAGCTCTGTGATATACTGTCATGTTGGATCATTTGTGTTTTAATTCAGCAACATAAAATTAGAGATTAAAATAGTGCTTAAATAATTACATGCCTACACTCAGGACAGTTCTGCAAAGAAGACTTATGTGATTCTATTATATGCCTGCTTTTTTTTTTTGTGTGTGAAAATACCGTACAGAGGGGTTACAATTATATGGGCAAGGTAATGAGTACATTTCTTATCAAGCATTGTTGCCTCCTCCTTTGCTTTTTTTTTTTTTTCTTTTTTCTTTTTTGGTTGGTCGTAAGGTCTGAACTCTGGGCCTGGATGCTGTCCCTCAGCCCTTCAGCTCAAGGCTAGCGCTCTACTACTTAAGCCACAGCACCACTTCTGGCTTTTTCTGCTTATGATGTGGTGCTGGAGGAATCGAATCCAGGGCCTCATGCAGGCAAAGCAAGCACTCTACCACTGAGCCACCTTCCCAGCCGCCATATATGCCTGCTTTTCAAGTTTTCATTTATTGCAAATAACCAGATCCAGCCATCTCTTCATAGGCTTAGACTCAGAAGGGGCTTCTAGGACAGAGCAGACACTCAGGGTTTTAGAATTGATTTCTCTCCTGCTCCCTAGAGCGTGGGGTGGCCATGCTCCTTCCTCTGCCTCTGCTGTGTTGAGGCTGAACCCTTAGCCATTGCATATGAACATACATGCTGGCCCTCTGACAGGTGAAGAGAAGGCTGGCCAGCTTTGTGGTTTAATGTTTACATCATATATCTGAGACACAGAGTTGAAGAACTTAGTAGTATGTTATAATGTTATCATAAACTGGGTCCTATTGATCACTTAATAGTTTGATTTAGTGATACACAATTAGAGACTCAAAGGGTATCTTAAAATTAAGATATATTTCAGAGAGAGATTTATATAACTCTATTGTATGCCTAATTTTAGATCTGGACAGATATTTTTTTAAAGAGAAAACACAATCTCTAGATTCAGTAGTACACTCCTTACTTTAAAAATGCCCAAGACAAAAGGGACTGAAGGCATAAATCAAATGGTAGATTTCCTGCCTAGCAATAAGGAGGCCCTGAGGTTGATCCCAAATACCACAAGAAAGAGACAGAGAGAGAACTTGGTGATCCATAGGCATATAAGTGACCTAAATCCATGCCAGGGGAGTTCCAGAAGGAAAGGAGAATGAGAACTGGGCAGAAGAATTTTTTCTCAAGATGAGCAAGAAGATGTGGCTGCCAGAAGTAGCTGGAAAGCCCAGTGCTGGTGACTCACACCTCTAATGCTAGCTCCTTAGAGGTTGAAATCTGAGATTTGTTAGTTGAAAGCCAGCCCAGACAGGAAGGCCTGTGAGACTCTTATCCCCAATAGCTACCAAAAAGCCAGAAGTAGAGCTCTGGCCCAAGTGGTAGAGCATCAGCCTTGAGCCCAAAAAGCTAAGCAACTGGACCTAGGTCCTGAGTTTAAGCCCCAGTACCAGCTCAATCAATAAATCAATAAATAATAAACTACTGAATGTGTTTCTGGACAGAGGGAATTTTTATTGTTTGAAAGTGTTAAGTCGCATTGATACTTTCTAGCTCTGCTTTATCCTCCTCCTCCCCACAATGAGTTTGTAGGTGCTTTTAGCTGTTTTTGTTAGGTTCCCTCACTCTCGGTAGCAACTGGCTTTCTCCTCTTTCCCCCAGAGCATCGAGATGAGGCTGAAGGTCTCTCTGCATGAAGACCTGGGGGCAGCACTCATGGACGGCGTGGTGCTCTGCCATCTGGTCAATCACCTGCGGCCGCGCTCCGTGGGCAGCATTCACGTTCCCTCCCCAGCGGTTGTAAGTAAAGGCCCGCAAAGGAAATCCCCTGTGACTTGGCTCAAATCCTTTCTGTTGGGCTCCACAAATCCAGAAGAATAAAAAAAAGGAGGTCTAGGAAAGCAACTTTTTCAATAGAAAGAGAATGTTTTAAAATTAATAGGCTGGGCTGGGAAGCTGGCTGGAAGAGGGCTTGCCTCGCGTGCATGAGGCCCTAGGTTCAGTTCCTCAGTACTACATAAACAGAAAAAGCCGGAAGTGGTGCTGTGGCTCAAGTGGTAGCCTTGAGCTGAAGAGTTGGCCGACAGTGCCCAGGCCCAGAATTCAGGCCCCACAGCCGACCAAAAAAAAAAATCACTAGGCAGATGGTCCTCCCCTTTTTTCACTCCTCTCCCCTTCCCTCCCTTCTTCTCCCCTTCTCTGTCCTTCCCTTCCTGACAAGGTCTCGCTAAGTACTCCAGACTGGCCTCAAACTCATGATGTAGACCAGGCTAGCCTTGAATTTATAACCCTTCTGCCTCACCTCTCATGTGCTGAGATTCCAGGTATACAACCACTATACCTGCTTGGAATTAGTTTCTTTTGTTTATCTTTGATATTTTGAGATAGCCCTGTAAAGATGTGCACTCTGGGAAAACAGCATAATAATCTACTAAGTCAGAGGTTAGTCCGCTGGTCATGAGTTTAACAGCTGCCTTACCACACTGCGTTTGGGGATAACTAGTAAGGAAGGTGAAGCACCTATACCAGTGTCCTCAAGTTCTCACTTCCATACAGGGTAAATACACATGCACAGGGAATACTTGTGGGTTTTGTGTGTGTCAGTACTTGAACTCCGGCCTGGGCACTATCTCTTAGCTTTTTTTGCCGTCACTCTACCACTTGACCACAGCTCCACTTCTGGCTTTTAGCAGCTAATTGGAGGTAAGAGACTCATTGACTTTCCTACCTGGGCTGACTTCAAACCATGATTCTCATTCCTACCTGCGCTGACTTCAAACCATGATTCTCAGATCTCAGCCTCCTCAGTACCGAGGGCCGCTGGCATGAACCATCTGCACCTGGCTTGTCCTTTATTTTTTTAATGTTTAGAAATATTTCTTTATTATGTTTGTAGGAATCAGATTTAGGGCCTCTGTGCTAAGCAAGCACTCTACTACTGTGCTACACCCAAAGTCTCGAAGCCAGGAAATCCCAGAGGGTGGTATGAGCCAGGAGAGAGATACAGAGATAGCTTCCTGGCTGAGTAGCTGGCATTTTGGATAAGCGTGTCTTTGAAGCCTGTTTAGGATGTCCACAAACAGTGAAGAAAGAATTTCTGTGCACAGCTTTTGCTTTGCATTAAGGGAAGCAGAAGAGCTTAGGGGCTAAGAATGTCTGCACCGAATTAAAATTCCTGATCTACTTCGAAAAGCTGTAAGACTTTCGGCAACTTGATTTCCTCTTCTTGTTAGGATGAGATGAGGCATAACATAGCAGATCCATGAAAAGGTGAACCATTACTGTCATGTTTATGCGCAGCAGACTTTTTTAACTTTGGAGGCCCTAATCTCCAGCACAATCTCCAGGATGGAAACTTGAATGAAGCCCCTTTTCCTCTTCTCTCCTCCCTCTCCTCCCCCAGAAAGCTTTCACTGTGGCAGTATGTCCCCTACTTCTGTTTTTTCTCAGAAGCAGGAAAAAATAACTGATCATTGTTTCAGTTCTCACTTTCTTTTCTGTAATGTTGATTTTTTTTTTTAAATTTTAAATTTAGCTACTTTGTGGTGCCAGAACCATTGGGAGCGAAAAGACTAGTTTGGCTTCTTTTCAAATCTGATCCTTATAGCTTTGGTGTAGGACAGTAAATTTTGCCTGTTATATAATGTGGAACTTCCCAGCATCTTTTGCAGATGAGGTCCAAATTGCCACAAAATTTAGCTGTTTGCCAAATTATGACTTATTTTTCCTGAATGATTCCAGAGACAGTGTGTATTCAACCAAGAGTGTACTCTACTGTCATAACCAGGACTTCTTACTCTGTGCATATTTTATTAGTTTTCCGGGAAAAAGTGCTGTATTTTTTAGAAAAAAAAAATATATATACATAGATATATTTTGTTTGGGGGGGTCCGGTCGTGGGGCCTGAACTCTGGGCCTGGGTGCTGTCCCTCAGCTCTTCAGCTCAAGGCTAGCACTCTACCACTTGAAACACAGCGCCACTTCCGGCTTTTTTTCTTTTTGCTAATGTGGTGCTGAGGAATTGAACCCAGGGCCTCATGCATGCAAGGCAAGCATTCTACCACTGAGCTACCTTCCCAGCCCCTAGAAAATTTTTTTTTTTTGAGTAGATATACTACCTGACTGGAGAAAATAGAGAAATATAGAAGATAAATAAATCATTCTTTATTACATTACCAAAGACAATCATTACTAATCACTTTACTAACGTTTTCCACGTTTTCCTTAGTAAGCTTCTCACATCTACTATTTGGTAGTATTTAAATTTTATTAGAAAAGCCTAAATATTCATCTCATTAAAATTCTTTCCAAAAGTGCTTTTTAAAACTATCACATTTTAGCCAATGCTAAAGTATAGTTTTTCTGCTTAGACATTTAGTTTGTTTCTTTTTTTTTTCTTTTTTGAACTGATAATGGGATTTGAACTCAGGGTATAGGCACTGTCTCTTAGCTTTTTTTTCTCAAGACTGGTACTCTACCACTTAAGCCAAAGCTTTACTTCTGGACTGTGTGTGTGTGTGTGTGTGTGTGTGTGTGTGTGTGTGTGTGTGTGTGTGTGTGTGTGTGTGTCTGTGTCTGTGTGTGTCTGTGTCTATGTCTGTGTCTGTGTGTCTGTGTCTGTGTGTTGTGTGTGTGTGCATGCAGTTAATTATTGATAAGAATCCCACAGATTTTCCTGCCTGGTCTGGCTTTGAATGGCCTTCCACAGATTTTAGCCTCCTGAGTAACTAAGCTAGGATTACAGGTGTAAGCCACTAGCATCTGGCATGTTGGTTTCTAAGTAAATGACCACTTATACTAGTCAGCCTCTTGCAGCTGTTAGCAGGCCCAGCCCTGATTTGCTCTCCAGGAGGCTCCATACCTGCTGTGCACATATTGGCCCACAGCCCTTTGGCACTGCTAGTCCCCAGGTGTCCTCTGCTTCATTGTTTATGGCCTTCTCCCTGTAGGATGGCTGTCATTGTGTGTGTTTGCGTGTTCCTTTCCTTGTCACAACCTCACAGCCATGAGGAGTTATCCTGGATCATACCACAGCTTCCTCTGACTATTGATATGTCTGTCCCACTAGAGCTAAATGGCCATGAGGTTTGTCTTTTGGGTTCCACAGTTATATCTTTCACACCAAGTAATGTCATACACAGAATAAACAGTAAATATGGCTAGCTCTCAACCATCAGCCACCTTTCCCAGCAGGATTGCTGCCACCACTGAGAATTCCGATTTTTCATTCATGAAACTAATATTGTCCTTTTTTTTTTTATCTCAAGTGCAAGGAAGACGGTGATAGACAAAATCTGTGCCATTATCCATGTGCCAGGAGACTGTACCTTAGGAAAAATGAGTTTAAGAAGGAAACATTGGCCCCTCAATTAGTGTGTTTTTTTTAATATAATTAGTGTGTTTTTTCACTCTTTGAGGCAAAACTATAACCATTGTCCTTGAGACAAGTACTTTTCTACCTGAGGCTAGATAATAATGCTAAGAATAGACTTTCTTTCTTCCAGATATGAGGAATCTTCTTTGTGTAGCTCGAGTGCATTCTCCATTGACTTCTTCTAGGGTGACCTAAGTAATTTGAATGTTGTGGGGTACCATCGAAGCTTTAGAATAGATCCACTAAACCATAAGACATAAATGGAGAAAGATAATTGGCCCAGAGGGTCAGAGACAATTGTAGGGATTTCATGGGAAGAAATGCTTCTTCATGCCCTGACTTGTCTAGAACCTCATCCTTTGTTATCCCCATGTCCCTCCCTCAGGTCTGCTTTCCTGAGCCTTCCTGAAGCCACCCTGCCCTGAGATGGGCATGGGTAGGCAAAGCCACCTAAGCACCTGTTTAGTGCTTCTTTATGTGGCCCATATTGAGAGAGACACAGTGTCTGCTGGAGCCAGGATGGACAGTATTCTCACCCCCCAACCACGTCATTCCTTATGGCTTGGAGGCAGGCCTTTTCTTCTTAGAATAAATACTACACAGATTTATACTTTAATGATGATTGATTTGTGTCCTCAATTTCCTTCTATCACTTATAACCAGGATGAGAGAAGACTGTATAAAACACAACTTCTGGAACTACAACGTGTAGCTTGAGTAGTAGAATACCAGCCATGAACAAACAAACAAACAAACAAGCAAAAAAGCCACAGTAAGAGTACAAGGCCTTGAGTTCAAGTCCTAGCCCTGGCACAGTTAAAAAAAAAGGGGAGGGGAAGAAGGAGGGAGATGGAGGAATTGACAGAAAGAAAGAAGGAAGGGAGAAAGGGAAGGAGGGGGAGAGAGGGACGTTAGAAGGAAAGGAAGGAAAAAAAACCATGACTTCTGCACAAGATTATTATGTGCTTGCTTTCCTAAGGAAATCAGTAGCGCAGTATCAAAATTCATCAAGAAAGTTTGAAATTTATCATGTCAAAACTAGAGAGTGTAAATCAGATGTGTCAAAACTAGAGAGTATGAATCCGATATACCTGTTATCCTTCACCTTCAGGATCTTGTGAAAAAAAGGTCACTCAGTTATTAGAAGCTGTGGGGGGTTAGCTTCAGGTTAAGTCCTGTTTGTATTGCTATTTATTTTGCTGCATCTTCTGGTTAAATCTGATATTTGCATGACTTCTATGTTAATTAACCTGGTGGATTTGATGTATTTGTTTTGGAAGGATGATGGTTATGGTATATTTTTTGGTGAATTAAAGTAAGTTACACAGCAGCATGATCCTATAAAATGTGTATGTGTGTATGCACATGCATGTATATACATGCCTATATTTGTGTGCAGAAAAATTTGCATATAACATGGATGTACACATAGGTATACATGCATACACACATAATTATACATATACATATAGGCACTCAAACATGTACACACACCATGTCTGGATATAAACCACAGCATTCAGGGTTTTAATAAAATCTTGTAATTCTTATTTTAATATGTTATTTCTCTATGTTTGCATTTATAGCCCAAACTTAGCATGGCCAAATGCAGAAGAAATGTGGAAAATTTCTTGGAGGCATGCCGGAAACTAGGAGTACCAGAGGTAACATCAAACTTAATTCAATGAACCATATTTTAAAATAAACCTGTACTATATGTGTTTGAAATGTTGAATACAGGTAAAGCTTTGTGTCTCTCATTTAGTCTTCCTTTCTCAAGGAATCATTTTGGATACATTATACAATGTTTTAATTTAACTTGTTCTAGTGTGTGAAATTAAAATGGTTTTATTATTGCAGGTTCAATTCTGAGGCTTTCTCTCTTTAGGGAAACTAATTTCCTTAAGGTTTTAAAATCAGTGTGAAATTCCAAACTTAAAAGAGAATCAGTCAGCCTGATTGGATGGCATCAGTAGATTCTCTTAAGAGCAGAAATGGCTGAGGTTGCATGACCTGGGATCAGGTAGCATTGGGAGACTTGGAGAGTGAGTGATAGCAGCTGATTACTTCCTATCCCAGCAGCTTAAGCAGAGGCCCATAGTTGCCTACTAATTGCTGGTTTTAATTCCCAGTAGTTGCATTTTGAGTATATGAATCAAACTAATCAGTGTTGAAAGTAGTATACTTATTGTTATTAATACCAGTAATAATAATAATTATTATGCATTGATTTATAAGTGATTCATGATTTATATTTACAGTTTCTCCTTCTAATCTGCTCATTTGGCAATTCTCCATAGCCATTCTAACCATACAATTGGTTACTTGTTCCTCTGCCCAGATGTTTGATTCTCAGGCTTTTAAGACTTAATGTTAGGAACCTAAAATGGTTTCATAGGGTAACTTGAGTCCACTCTGTGAATTTGGGGGTAGTAGCCATTTATACTGAAAAGTTTCTCATTTGTGGAAAACAGAAATAAATACAAATTCTCTTTCTTAGGATTTCTCTTTCCTTTTTTAAACTATATTTTTACTATCTTTAAGTAGTTGTACAAAAGAGTTACTATTCAATAAATCAGTTCATAAATACAGTACATCTTGATCAATGCCACCCTTTCTATCATTCTCTCCCTCCCTGTCAATCCCTCCCGCCAATTTTTCTAACTTCATAGGTTAGGCATTGGATGTTATTACTGCATTTGTTCCTCCCTTTCATTCATCCGCCCCCCCCTTTCCTTGACCTCACTCACACATACATGGATGAAGCAACTTTTAAAAAACTCTATCATGAAATACTCTTTGAGTGGCATCTGAAATTGATTTCAATATAAATCAATTCAGCCGTAGGAGTTGAACTGATCAAGATCTTTTTTCCTCTGTGTTCCTATATGTCCCTTTCTTCTTTCTTTTTTCTCATATTTCTTTCTTTACTTCCTTCACTGTCTTTTAGCAAAGAGGTCTGCAGTTCAGAGTAGTGGCCTGATTCTAGTTTTCTGGTTTTTTTTTTTTTTTTTGAGGGAAAGAGGTGTTCTATTAAATCAGTATCAAACCAAAGGAATTTATACATTTTGAAAAAAAATATAATCTTATAAAATGGACCAATTCTTCTTTCAATAGTATTGATCTGTATGTTGATATCGTATTGTCCATTCTTGACTTGAAATACTCATTAGAACACACATTTCCCCTAATAATTTGATTCTGCTGGGGGCAGGTAAGATTCCCTTGTGTGAATGAGAACTTTATGGCAGGTTTCAGATGGTAGATTATTTGGTCTGCACTAAAAACTACTAAGTTATGACCTACCACCCTGGCATTATTTCAGCTCCTCACAGGTTTTTAGCTACAGTGGTAAAAAATGAAAAGAGAATGTCCTTACCCATTTACAGTGAGTAAGGATTGTTAACTCAAAAAGGAAATTGAATCACCATAAAAATGCAGGTCAGGGTGTATCATAAATTCTACCCCTGGCATTGGCTGCCCAGCATCAGTAGCAGTTCCTAACTCCAAAGAAAGTCAAAATAGAAAAACTAAATGACCTGTCTTGCCAACGTCCCAATGCACTATGCTTAGTAACAAGTATATTTTGGAAGTTACTTTTGAGGTTTTAAGTACTTTTTCAAGTCTACAGGGTGCATGTGAGTATGTACATATATAGCCATCCTGATGGATACTTCAGTAGCATTCTAGTTGTAGTGAGAATTACTTTTAGACCATTCCTACTAGAAAAAAAAAATGTATGAGCAGCTAGACACCAGTAGCTGATGCCTGTAAATACAGCTACTCAGGTAACTGATCCTTGGTTCAAAGCCAGTCCAGGCAAGAAAGTCCATGAGACTCTGCCCTCCAGTTAACCATCAAAAATCCAAAAGTGGAGCTGTGGTTCATGTGGTAGAGTGCTAGCCTCTAGCCACATAAGCACATGTGTGCACGGACACAAACACACACACACACACACACACACACACACACACACAGAGAACAGTTAGAATTTCTTAGAATATTATTAAGAGGAAGGAATACCCCAGTGGAAACCCAGCAATTCTCAATTGGAAGGTAGCTAGCAATTTGTCCTGTTGGCATATTTGAATGTCATAGAAGGCACTTGTCCTGTTGGCATATTTGAATGTCATAGAAGGCACAAGGAAGTTTCCATTCAGGAATGGGTCGGCACTCTAAGAATGGGTTGCCGTGTGGTGGAGACAGATGGGCTCTCCCCTCTTAGATAAGCATGCTTCTTTCACTTCTTAATGAGGTGCTGGTTGAATGTCTATCTGGCTCACTGGGACTGATGATTTACACTAGAACGACAGTTGTTTCACAGGGGTTCTTGGAGAAGTTTCCTATCTACAATTAAACATTTTAATAAAATAGTACTGGGCCAGAGTTTGCTCAAGCCACCTAACTGCAAACCCCAGTACTGCTGACAGCAACGATAAGAGCTGGGTGCTGGTGGCTCATGCCTACAATCCTTAGCTACTCAGGAGGCTCAGATCTGAGGATCCCAATTTGAAGCTAGCCAAGGCAGAAAAGTCCATAAGACATAAAAATTAATCAGCAGACAGTTTGAAGTAGAGCTGTGGCTGAAGTGGTAGAATGCCAGCTTTGTTCAAAAAAAAGGATAGTGCCCAGGTGCTACATTCAAGCTCCAGTGTCAGCGCATGCATGTGTGCACACACGGGCGAGCGCGCGCACGCACACACACACACACGCATGCATGCACGCACAGATAGGACAATAGGACGAATAGCATTACTTTTTTTCTGTTGAATCAGATGTTTGAGTAACACACATCCACTGATTTCCCTGTAATCAACATAGGTAATGTTCTGTAAGTTGTACGCTTCTTCTTTCTTTTCCTTCCACACTACTTTCATATACACAAGCTAACTCAGACTTTGAATTCTGCATTCTATATGCTAAAATAGCCTTTGTTAGAGGCATCAACTCAAACTGCACATCCAGGTAAGCAGTTCATGCAATTATATTAGGAGCATGTGGACAGATACGAGGAGCTAAGGAGATCTAGTTTCAGTATTACGTGTAAAGTCCTATAAGAGGATGGGAGCAATTTTAAAGTTGTCTCGATGATGATAGTTTATTGTATTTCCTTACATGAGCAAAATCACAGAGATTTCCATCAGGACTGGTGATCTTTCATGAAACATTTATGTGTGATTCAGCAGCTGGAACCACACAACTGGTCTGTGGTTAGTTGAATATCCAGGAAATGTGTCCATACAGGACGTGGTAGGTTAGCCCCTAAATATACTGAATAAACAGTTGAGGGAAGTGGGCAAGACTGTCCCACATGGAATGTTGAGCTAACTATTTACAATGGAGGGGAGGCGCGGTATTGCAGTGGTCTGAGGTGTGGCTTTTCTATCCATGTGGCTTCTTGTGGGGGGGCGGGGGCATGTTGAGTTTTGTAGGCAGGGCAAGGACCGTCCATATACCTTTTGGAGGCTGATGCTGGCTTGGTGACATGATGCAACTGTCTTTGATTTCTGTATGGGCTCCAACTTGGTCTCCTGAAAGGCATTGATGGCTCCTAGATCTTCAGGACAGGGTCTTTGTATCACCCAACAGTCTAAG